CAAGTCCAGATCTCTGTGTTCCGGCATCTCCCGAGAATGCTCCAGACGTGCCAGAGGGAGCAGCGCTTCCCTCACTCAGACCCCTCTTCTGTGTGTGTGCGTGTGTGTGTGTGCGTGCGTGTGCGTGCGTGCGTATGTGCGCGCGTGCGCACGCTTCTCCCTCCTGCCCCCCAGTTTAGTGGCAGCTCCATCGTCCTTTGTGTTGCTCAGGCTGACACCGGGGCGGCCTCGCCCCGCTCCTGAGCCTTGGGGAAGCGCTGCCAGCGCTGCCTGCACCGCAGAACCAGGATCCGAGCTTTCCCAGCCCTGCACCTCCCACATGCTGCCACACTCGCTGGACTGGTCCCCCAGCTGTTACACCCAGCAGTCAGGTGTCAGGCGCAGTTAGATGTGAGGCACAGCCTGCCCCGGCCCCTCGCCTGCCTGGCTCCAGAGGCCATCAGTGGCCCTTGCGGCCCACCACTCCTGGCTGCCCATCCTCCACCTCTGACCTCCTCACTCTTTGTCCCAGCCACCGCCCCGCTGACCCTCCACCTGCCAGACAGGCCCTGTGCACAGGTGTTCCTGCCACCTGAGCTGTTCTTCACCCAGGTCGTGCCTGACTCAGGGCTCCACACCACTCAGGTCTTTGCTGAGACGGCCCTGTCGCCGCAGGGCATGTCACCCTCTTCCCGCGGCAGCCTGTCCCCACGTGAGCATGCGACAACCTCCAACACACAGTTGACTGACCCACATTACTTATCGTTAAAGACACGAGCACCAGTAGAGCAGCGATCCCCTGGCGTTTTGGTAGGGAGATTCCATCCGCTGGGGTTGGAGGGGGCTTGGAGCGCGTGCCGTGTGCCCAGTCGCGCGCGGTCCTGCTCCCCGCGCTTTCCAGCCCTGGCGCACCCCTCAGCCCACGAGGTCGGGGTGTTCCACCTCAGGCTCGCCGACAGTCCTGGCACCTGGGATGAGAGGCCACGCGCCGTGGACTTCGTGGTGGAGGCCACATTTAAAGTCACCGTTGTCGTCGGTTTCCACGCTCCGACCATTGTTTGGGGGGCTCTGGTTACTCCCACTTCTCACCTGTCTCCTCTTTGCTCTGCAGCCCCTACGTGTTCACTGGACGCCGCAGTCCCTCGGTCCCCCACAAAACCGTAGGGTGCACTGTGGACTCTGGCGGGGTTGGCAGCTGCCCACGCTTTGGCCTTGAAGCCGCTGTGCTGCGTTGAGTAACTGGAAACGTCGGAACATCGGAGAGGGCGTGGGCGCTGGGACGCGGATGGGGTGGCGCGTGGGAAGGACAGAGGCCTTGCGGGGAGACTTGGGAGGTCGAGAGCAGCGTGCCCGGTGAGCCCTCGGGGTGGTGGGCAGGCGGTGGCGCCCGGCCTCCTCTCCCCGTCGCTTCTGGGTGTTTCTCTTCTTTTCTTCCCACTGTAAGAAACAAGGCCGTCAACAGGGGTGAGGGGGGACGGCCAGGGCACTGTGCTGGGACCGCTGGTGTCACGTGGGCCCCCGTGGCGTCCTTGGCTATGGGTATTGATGAAGAAGCGGAGTTTTTTTCCCAGCTTGATCTGGGCAGATGCTGAATTTCAGCAGATCAGAAGTGACCACACAGTGACCACAGCACGCCCTTGGCCTCGACCGGCTCCTCTTACGTGGTTCCCGGGGCCGCAGTGGGCCGGCACCCCGCCTCGCCCTCCGGGCCGTGTGCGGGCAGCGGCAGCTCCATCCCCGCTCCTGGAGCCGCGGTGCACCAGGGGCCAGCCCCTTGGCCGGCTCACCACACACTCTGGGCAGCAAGGGCTCCGTCAGCTGGCCAGGCCATCGCAGAGTCACCTGGGTGCCCCCAGGTCTGATGCCCTGTTGTAGCCCACCTGCCGTCTTCACATCCATTCCCACCCCCGTGCAGTCACTGGGTGGACGGGCCATTGCGCCTGGGCCAGACTCAGGGCTGTGCCGAGCTCTGGCCCTGGCCGAGTCGTGGCCAGTGTCCCCTCACAGAGCCTTCGAGCAGGGCAGGCGCTGAGGACGCCATCTGCAGGGAGCCTCTCAGCACCGCGAGGCCCGCAGGCTGCCGCTGGACCAGGGGCAGCGTTTGCTTTGTCTTGTTGTACCCATCTGTCCCCGTGGGCCTCGGTCGGGCCCCGCTCCCCCATGTGGTTCGCTTCGGACGTGGCGCAGGGGTGCCTCCTTGGACCATGTTGTAGGGGCTCCAGAGCCCTTAGCACGTGCGTGCTTAGGGCGGGGATGAACCAACCCGCGGGGCGTGGAAACTGGTTCTTGCAGAGCCCGTGTGGCTTCCACGGTGGTTTGTGGCCCCCAGGGCACGCGTCCCCTGGAGCTTCTGCTCCGTGGAGTGTCATGGTGCCCGCAAGGTCCCTCGGGCATCCTGCGGCTCTCGAGTTCTTGGAAGGAGCAGACACGGGAGCTCAGGAGTAGCCCAGAGGGCAGAGATGGCGATGGCCGGTCGGGGGGCCCCGGGCTGCTTCCCCACGCGCTCGTGGTCCTCACGGTGCTCGCGTGCGGCTCGCACTTGGAGAATTGGCTAAAAACCATTTACGTTTTATTTGTTAATTCTGGGAAAGTCATTCAGCCCATCGCTAACTACTCAAAGTGTTGAAAAGAACATCTATCAGTTAAGAAGTGTTATGTCAAGCAGAAATTAGAAATTAAATTTACTAAAGATATTTAAGGAATTTTTTCAGATGTTTTACTTTTGCTGGGAAAATGAGCTTTTAAATTTTGGTCACGTTGCTATTTACATAAATGGCTAATTTGTATATAATTTGATATGCTGTGATTTATAAGTAAATTGTTGAAAGTTGCTCAAAAAATGCAGTTATAAAGTTGTTAGGAGCTTTCCCTTTTTAATCTTTCAGCTGACACTTTTAACCAGTTCTAAGCCTGTGCTGACAGAGTAAGCGTCGGCCTCGCTCTTCACGCAGAGCGCAGGTGCGCGCGGGGCCGTTAACAGACAGTGAGTCGGCAGCGCTAACGTTTCGTGGAGGGTGGGCACTGAGGAGAAGCAGTTTACGGAGGCTTCCTGGAGGCACAGGGATGCCAGGCCGGCCTGGAGTGGCTGCTGGTACCCAGGCGGCCTCGGGGGCTGGCCGGTGGCCGCTCTGCTTCGGGGGAGGCTGTTTGGGACCGAGCCCGGTGTGTACCGGGCGCCGCGGGCGGGTGCCGTGGGGACTGGCCTCTGTGGCCGTGGTTCTTTGCATTGGACTTGTGGCTGATTCCCAGGGGTGCTTGTTAACGAGCTCAGGGAGCAAGTGCGCGTTACGTGACGAAAACGGTAGTTTAGACACTGTTTCTGTGCCAGAATTCATATTTGGGCTTAAAAAGGGTGTTTATTTCCAATAGAACTAGATTCTGCAGGTCTTTCTCTTCCTGGGAGAGAACCCCCAGTGGCGGGAGGCGGGCTGTCGGACACACACTCCGCGCCTCTCTCCACACCGCGTGACCGGGAAAGATGGAGACCACAGTTTTGAAGCGATATTGGCAGTAGACTGACGTTTACGAGAGCAGCTTTTAGTCTTAGAGAAGTTCAAATTGAGAGAGTTCTCGGAATGAGAGTTTATGCTGCTGCTACGTAGAAGTCATTTGCGCACGGAGTCTGCGTAGCCCCGGCAGGCGAGGTCTGCACGCACACGGGTAAGCAGGGCGGGAAAGCGTGATGGGTAACACGGACCCTCCCGCCCCCACCGAATTCCGCTCTCGAATGTCAGTCTCCTCAACAGCCCTTTTAGACGTAAGACCTTTGTGGTTTCTGCGCAGGGCCATGCTGGGCCCCTCAGGTGCCCGTGAGCTGGGTGGCACAGGGACAGCTCCCTGTGTGAGGTTGCATGGGTCTCTGTCACGGGGCTGTGCTTGGGCCGAGGGGACCGGGCGCCCACAGTGGCTGTCCCCTTTCCTTGGCGCCGGGACAGCACGGCAGGGGGGCAGCGGGCGTCCTGCGCGAGCATTTCCATGGAGCGAGTCCCAGGAGTGGACTCGTGCAGTCTTAGCGGGGTTTAACGTCATCCCTGAGGACCGAGCTCAGTGTGTCCGTGTGCTGTGCACGCAAGCCAGGTGGCGTTTGAGAACACGGCCCGTCACTCGTCTGCAGTCGAGATAAGTCACTCTCTTCTCCGCAAGTCTTTGAGCTCGTGAAGCACAATTCTCACGTGACCATTCAGACGTCGCCCCCATTATAACGTGGCACAGTCAGTTTTAGGGCCAGCACAGGATTTTTGATGTCCGTTAAGAGTACGTGTTCATAGACGACACCTTCTGGTCTGGTCACGTTGGCATCTGTCCTCACCGCAGCGTGCGACGTGCTGACCGATTTCTTAGCGGCCGTGGCTTTCTGCGGGGTCGGAGTCTCCCCGGACGAGTTCTGTCTAAACGGAGAACTCTCCAGGGGGTTGCAGCCCCGGCAGACGCGTCCTCCTCCTCCAGGGACCCAGCAGCACTGTCGCCATGGCCACCGGTTTGTTGCCTCATGAGGACCGGGGCACTGTTTCCTTTTCTCCCCTGTGTTTAAGTTAAAGTCTTTTCCGATTTTAAATTTGGGCATCGTTGCATCGTGCAGAGAGCTGCTGTGTCCCCCCCAACCCCGGTTTCCCACCGTTACCGTCTGCTCGCCGTGGGATCTTGTCACGGAGAGAGCCGGACCCTGGCGCACACCGCCAGCTCCGTTTTATTCAGATGTCCCCTTTGCTGTCCTGCGATTCCACCCAGGGCCCCACGTGGTCATCCCAGCTCCCTCGTCACCTGCCCTCTGGGACCAGCTCTCACTTTCCTCGTGTTTTGGGGACCGGGGGGGGCGTGCAGAGTGACAGAGGGCTCCCGCGCCACAGCAGCGGCCTGGTGGGGAGGGGCCCCAGGCCAGAGCCCTGCCCCCGCCGGCCCGTGTTATAGGCGAGGAAAGTGAGGCCCGGCCCGGCCCCTCGGAATGCTGAGGGCCCGGCCCGCCGGGCCCTGACGCGTGTCCTTCGCCCACGCGCGCCCTGACCTGTCCTCTGCCTGCGCAGGTGTACATCGGCGAGCTCCCGCACGACTTCCTCCGCATCGCGCCCACGCAGCAGCAGCAGCAGGTGCAGCTGGACGCGCAGGCGGCGCAGCAGCTGCAGTACGGCGGGGCGGTGGGCACGGTGGACCGCCTCAACATCACCGTCGTGCAGGTGGGTGTCGCCGGCCGCGGCCCCTCGGGCCCGGGCGGGAGGCTGTCCGCTTTCGGCCGCTCTTTCTCTGCGGACGGATGGGCTTGTTCTGCTTCCAGTTGTTGCTAAAACACATGTCTGATGGAGAATGACGCCTGGGAGGGGCACTGCCGGTCGCCCAGGGCTGCGCCCAGACACTCGAGAGCCTCAGTCACGAGCTTGGCGGCCGCTCCGGGCTGGGCACCATTCCTTCGGGCAGACGGCCTCTCCGAGCCCTCGGGACAGCTGGGATGCGGGACCAGCTCCGAGGGAGATGGGAGGTGCCCTGTCCCGAGCTGAGTTTCGGAGGCTTCCTCTGGCTGCCGTGTTGGGAAGATTGGGGACAAGGGTGGCGGTCCCTGCCCTCGGTGCTCCTTAGGGGAGAACCAGCGGACTTGTGACAGCACCCAAGGGCGAGGGTAGGAAAGCCGGCATGACCCTCAGGCCTCTGTTGGCAGCACCTGGAGGATGGAGATGGGACGGACCCCGGGGAGGAAGTTACAGGAGGAACGGGGGGTGGGGGACAGTCATAGTTGGTGTTAGACCTGTGAGGCTGAAGATACTGCGGAGGCGGGACAGGAGGGAGTGGTCGGGGGGCGAGGGGTGGCGTGGGGCCGGGAGCTCTGTAGACCTGGGCGAGGGGCTTCCTGGCTTCCCCGTTAGAACCTGCTCAGGAGGGCGCAGGGGCGGGCGGGGCGGGTGGGGCGAGCAGGCAGTGGGCTGTTTTGGTTTCTGGCTTTTAAAAACACGCTCTCAGGAGCGTGGCGGACAGTAGCATGCACGCACGTGACTTCATGCGCGCTTCCGTGCGTCCTGCCAAGTTTGTCCACCGCGGGACAGGGCGTTGCCCAACACCATGAAAGTGCCGTTTGCGTCCTCTGTCGCCGCCCTGCGCCCGGGCTGCAGAAGCACCAGCCGCTGTCCCTCCTGGAGGCCGGCATACCCGGGGCCTGGGCCGTCAGCAGGCGTGGACGTTGGTGGCCTGCCTGTCCCTGCTGTGCCCGCCGCGCTGCACGTCTGCTGTCTCTACCCGCCGCCCAGGTGGGCGCCGGGGTGGCTCAGCTTCTGGCAGTTACGACACACAGGACCCTGAGTGATCTCTCCGACGAGCGTCTGGGCGTGAGTCCCGGGTCACTTGGTGGCTGAGCTTCACTCCCCTGGGGTGCCCTGGGACCGGCCAGCACTCCGCTCTGGTCGGGCGGGGTGTGGTGGCGGAGCCGTCCATGTAGGCGCCAGGGTCTCCGCTGGGCTGCAGTCCGCAGTGCTGGTGACCGACGGCGGGGAGCATCCCCCCGCGCTCATCTGCTGTCGGGATCCCTTCTGCGCGTCTTTGCTTGTTTTCCTCGGGGCCGTGTCCTGAGATTCGAGGGCTGCCGACACGTTCTGCGCCCGGTACCTTACCAGGCCTGCGGCGTGTGCAGATGCCTTCTCCCGTGGGGCCGGTCTCTCCCAGCCTCTCTTGGGGAGCAGACCCCCAAGGTCAAAGGCCGGTGGAGCACGTCTTCTTCCATGGGCTGTGTTTTTGCCTGGGCCAAGGTCACAAAGTTCTTCTGTCCCTTCTCATAGAAGTTCTGTAGTTTGGGTTTTGCGTTTAAGCCTGTAATCCGCCTGGAGTAAATACTCGCTGGCCGACGGCCTGATCGAGCAGAGCCTTCCGGCTGGCTCACCACCACTCGATTTTCTCCCTGCAAGTGCACCTCCCGCCCCAGGCAGCCCGTCTGGCTCGAGGCTGGGCTCCCAGCCCCTGTGGGATGCGGGCCCTTGGCACGCTTCCACTCACGTGGGGACGGAGGGGGCTGGCGCGGCTGGTCCAAGGCCCGTCCGGCTCGCCCTGGGCATAGGGGAGGACCCTGCAGACTGCACCTGTCAGGGCCTCTCGTGCCCCCTAGCTCCTGGCTCCGTCCTGGGACAGCCTGCCTTTGTCACCCTCTTCTGTGGCCTCTTCTGAGGAAGGCTGGAGCACCGCAGTGTCTGCCAGGCACCAGGTGCTTCGTGTGGACCTGTGGGACTCCTGCGGTGACTTCATCGTCACCCCTGGCGCCCAGGAGCACGGTCGTCACCATGCTCCACGACTTGAACAGCCGGCCACTGTTTCCACATCATGGTGGTGGCTCAACTTCCTGCCGTTGGCTTCGTTTCAGGCCAAGCTGGCAAAGAATTACGGCATGACGCGCATGGACCCGTACTGCCGGCTGCGGCTGGGCTACGCGGTGTACGAGACGCCCACGGCCCACAACGGCGCCAAGAACCCGCGCTGGAACAAAGTCATCCACTGCGCCGTGCCCCCGGGCGTGGACTCCTTCTACCTGGAGATCTTCGACGAGGTGAGGGCCTCCTGTCCCGGCTTCTCGGGGGACGGCCGTGTCGGAGCGCTGTGCCCTCTGGCTGTTGAGGCTGCTCCAGGAACGTTAGGCGTGCCTGGCCACAGGCCGTTTTACTGTTTTGTGACAGGTGTCCTGGTGTCCCTAGCAATAGCGAAAGTACATATCCTGTGCTGGTTCTTTCACAGCTACTTTTAGAGATGTCGCCACTAACGATGGCTTCACTGAGCACTCTGTGGACAGAGTGGTGACGTGTCAACCCCCCCCCCAGCAAGGCACACACGCGTCATCACCAGGAATGACACCGAGCACTGTGTCGACGGAGCGGTGACACGTGCTCCTTCCCCTGAGCCAGGCACAGCGAGGCAGCTGGCTGCCGGGGACTAGGTTGGAGGTGAAGTGGCTGGGTGGCCCTCGGGTTCTGGCCTGTGCGAGTTGCAGGGAGTGTCCGGCGGATGCACCTGTCTGGGAGCACCCCCTCCCTTTTGAGGCCGAACCAGGGTGCCCCAGCTCGGCAAGGCTGGGAGGGACCCGTCGTCCCTGTGCCTCTGTCCTGTGCCTGTCCTTTCGGTCCCCCCGCCCCGGTCTAGAAGGGTGAAGCTGGCGGGGAGAACCCCTCCTTTCCTCCACTTGTGCCCACTGGGCTCTGGTTCAGGCTCAGAGGTGGGGTGGGGAGCGTTGTGTTCACACCGCCTGGGGGGCAGAGGCTCCTCAGAGGAGGCGGGGCCTGTGGGCTGGGCCGGGACTCAGTGCTCCTCCCTGTCGTCCCCTCAGCGAGCCTTCTCCATGGACGACCGCATCGCCTGGACACACGTCACGCTGTCCGAGGCCCTGAAGCAGGGCGAGGTGGAGGACAAGTGGTTCTGCCTGAGCGGAAGGCAGGGTGACGACAAGGAGGGCATGATCAACCTGATCCTGTCCTACTCGGTGAGGGCGCCGCGGGGACTGGGGTGTCAGGGGCCAGGGCTGGGCCCGCCCCATTGCACGCAGACACGGTGGGCTGCTCACAAGCCCCATATGGCCAGCGGCGACCTCGCCTTCCAGTCCAGGTGGCCAGTCATGCGTCTCTTGAAGGCACAGGATTCGGGCGTGGTCCCCAGAGCAGCCGGCCACCCTGCCCTGCACCCATCCTTTTAGGAGCAGCCTTGGGTGCCGGCCCTGTTGTAGGATCGAGGCCCATCTGTGGAGGTGTGGCCTTCCACATGGCCTTGTGGGCTGCCCGCTCCTGCCCTAGGCCCACCCACGCAGCATCCGGGGCCTCACTGGGAGGAAGGGGGGCGGTGCCAGCCGCCTGCACCAAAGACCGGAGCCAAGCCTCCTCAGAGCCCGGCCACTCTTGGGACCCTTGGGGACCGTGGGGGCAGCTGGTGGGGGGACAGGGTTGGGGTCTAGGATCCTGGGTTCCTGCCATCTCCCTTAGGTGAACCAGGTGGAGTTAATATTGTTATTAACGTTTTTTTATAAAAACGTCCACGAGCGACAGCGGGAAAAGTTGAGGGCTCGTGTGGACTGGGCACCCGCTCTGCAGCCTCGTTTCGTGCCTCCCTCGAACCGCGGGACGGTTTAAAGCAGGTCCCGGCAGCAGCGTGACCCCTGCGTGTTTCCCTGCGCACCTTTGACAGCTGTTCTACGTAAACCGAAGGCATCGCTGTGCCCTACGCGATGCTGCGGTCGGAGGCGCCGGCCCTGGAGCCCATACTCAAACCCGCCTCTCGACCCGCGCTGTCCTGTGGTCACGTCTCAGCCGTGGGTCTGTAGGCTCATGACGCCCTGTGGCC